ACGTGTCGAAGACACGTATTACCACGACCCCGACCCGACCCGACCCGACCCGACCCGACCCGAGACGAGACGGACGGCGGCAGCGGCGGTGGCGCGCGAGAGTCCCCCTTGTTCTCTATCACTCAACAGGGAAGTGGGAAAGCCAAGCCTTAAATACCATTCTCAATAGTGTTTCCAATACTATGTGGGATTGAGCATTACCAACACTTGTTTCCAATACAATGTGATTATTCAGGAAACAATTAACAATCATGCACCTTAAAACAACTGAATCAGCAACCAATTGCATTAGTATTATACGATTAAATATGTCATAATTAAAAGTCAATCTACAATCAATCGCGATTATTGCAATTTTAAGCAAAACATTCAAAAATAATATCACTATTTAAGGATCAATCCCACATAGTATTGAGAACAAGTGTTGGTAATGCTCAAATCCCACATAGTATTGGAAACACTATTGGGAATGGTATTTAAGGCTTGGCTTTCCCACTTCCTTGTTGAGTGATAGAGAACAAGGGGGACTCTCGCGCGCCGCCGCCGCCGTCCGTCTCGGGTTGGGTCGTGGTCGTGGTCGTGGTAATACGTGTATTCGACAAGTCCGCGCGGATACTATTTTTTTAGAGAAAATTCTTAAGAAACAAAATCTTTTTTTTAACTATCGCAACGAATTTGGAAAATCGTAACGACAACTGTAGACTTTCGCAACAACAACTGTAGACTATCGCAACGCGATTTTCAACTATCGCAACGCGAAATGGAAAATCTCAACGTGATTTTCAACTATAGCAACGCGAAATGCAAAATCGCAACGCGATTTTCAACTATCGCAACGCGATTTTCAACTATCACAACGCGAAATGGAAAATCGCAACGCGATTTTCAACTATCGCAACGCGAAATGCAACGCGAATTTCGATAGTGGAGATCGCAATGCGAATTAGAGATCGCATTGCGATTTTGTTGGTCATTTTCGCAAATCCAAAAAAAGTTGGTCAAAATCGTATATTATCTGGGATTTTTGGTCACTGAAGTTATTTTCTCTTAAAATAATGTTGTAATTTATTGAGAAAATATGCAAGTCAGAAAGAAGTTTTGTGGTAAATCACACAAATCAGCCACACAACTTTATTTTAGCTCTTATTTTGGTCACTAAAACTTAAAAAAGTTCATTTAATCATTAAATTCTCGAATTACTCATGGTTTAATCATTTGATAATTTTACTATGTGCTGAATTTATATTTTATTAATTTTTTAGACCATGGATGGGCACGGGACCCGAACCCGACGAGTTCTGACCCGACTTTATCAGGTTGTATTTTTTTAAAAAAAATTGAGTTCAGGTCGGTTTCAGGTTTAGGGTGAAAAAATTCGAACCAACCCGACCCAAAAAAAATAAAATTTTACTTTATATTTTTAGGGATAATTGCGATAATACACCTCTATATATTATTTTTTTCAATTAAATCCCTAACTTTTCTTGAATAAAAGTAATATTTTTTTATAAATATATTGTTTCGGGATGGGTCGGGTAAATGGTGTGTATTTTTCAGGTTGGATGGAGGATGCACAGTTTTTGGGTCAGGTCGGATTGATCGGTTTAAAATTTTTACCATATAAATAATTTATAAACATATAAGTTTATTATTGATTTGAACATATCATATTTAAATCTTATTTTAAAATTCAAAATTTAAAACAATATATATGCAGAATATTAAGTTTTAAAATAATACGAAAACCCTTATTTGTTTAAACATTTATTTTTGATACATTCATAATGAAATTTAAAATTCTAAAAAACAAGATTAAACTAATTAAAACATGTATGGAAATTTTTTTTGAGTAGTTCCTAGTTATATATATATATATATATATATATGGTGATTACAAGATAATATATATTTAGGATTTTTTTAACCTACAACATATATGTATCTTATAGACGTAGTTGTTTAAACTTATTATCTCAAAAATAATTTTTTATTTTATCAATAAAATCGCTTAATGAATTAAAATTTTTATACTTTATGCATGGATGAAGTTAAAGAACGTTATAGGCACGCAAGAAAATCATAAGGGTATGTTTGGTTTGGAGAATGTGAGATTCTCATTGGAATGGAATCCATATTCTCCCGTTTGGTTGGCTAGGAATGTCATGTCCGGTAATCTTACATTACCAATAGTGGATTTTTTGGGGTATATTACCGAGAATGTCATTATCTCTATTTCCTTAGGTATTGTTGGATTATCGGCGTTTTGAAAATAATAAAAATTCTACGAAGGTTAAATTACAAATTTATCCTTAAACTATTTTAGATTTACAAAAAACAATCTATAATTAAAATTTTATATGAAGTTCAGGGGTTAAAATAAAATTTTACCCTTTCATTAAACATTTTTATATTTTCAATTTTATAAAAAATTATATAAATTTTATGAATTTAAATTTTTTAAAGAAAATATATAAATATTTTCCAACTTGTTAAAAAACAATTATATAATAAAGATAATTTGGTCAAATATACATTCCAATAATATTTTATTCCTTTAACAAAACACGGTAATCTTACATTCCTGCTAAACCAACCAAACACAAAATACAACATTCCCAGTAATCTTATTCTCTGGTAATCTTTTATTCCCACTAATAATCTTACATTCCGTGAACCAAACGCACCCTAAGTGATATTTAATGAAAACAACCAACCGTGTACCTTACATTGAATTCCATCGCCTAGCTATCAAATGTTTATCTATTCCGGAAAAAAGTTCATATAGTCTAATTCTAAATAAATAAATATTAAATTACAAAAGTTATATTTAATATTAATTTAATATTATATTTTTAATATTTATATAAATATATGAATTTTATATCTTTTTATATAATATATTACTAATATTGTTAATTAAACTAAATTAAACCCATCTTATACTTGTTTTCTAAAAAAATTAATTTACTTATAAATGATTATAATTCGGGTCTATTATTATCTGAATTATCAGATACATCTATTTCAGATTCTGTTTTACAACAAAAGTGAGTTGAAGCTTTTGTTGAAGCGCAGGAGGCAGTGTCTGTTGGTAGGCAACTTGGACTTTTCGTTGGTAGTCCTTAAATTGTGGCTCTTTAGAAGCTTTGTCATTAGATATGTGTTCTCGTAGATGTTTTTAGAGTATAGTCGGGGTTGTTTAGGTGATTGTTTTCGGTCTTTGAGAATAACTTAGTTTTTATCGATTGGCTACGGGGTTTGGAGTGATCTCTCACGTGTATAATTTGTTTTGATTTTACTTGTGATGTAGTGAGTTTAGGACTATTTATGATGCCGTAGATGAGAAGGTGAAGGGTGTTCTTTTTGGATGGTTCTTGGTTACGAGGTGTTATGGTAGTTTTTTCATTCAGAAGGCTAGGATGTTGTCCTTGAGGATTTATTGTTTGATGTATTGAAGTCAGCTAGTCATGTTTTGTGGGGTGGATTGGGGTAACTAAAAGGTTATTTTGTGGTTAGTGCCTTCATACTGAGTTGATGTAGTCTTCTATTTCTCAGGCAATGTGTGTTTTTTCAGGAGCTAATTTATGGTTTTCTGTTATTTCCACCTTATGGTTCACTCTTTTTCCTCTAAATAGGTTTAGGGAAGTTTTTTAATGATGTCCATGAGATGATGTACCTTGTATCCTTATCAATACAAAGTACTTATTTTTCAAAAAAAAAAGTGTTACTATCTCAACCATCCGTGGATCCATTCTTTGTTTAGGATAAATATGTGTGATCTTAAAATTTAATTTTTTTTATTAATTATTTATCGTTCTTAAATTTTATTTGGGCCCGTCGCAAATAAAAAAATTATATTACTAAAAGATATGTGTTTTGCCCCAAAAAATTTCTCAATCTATTTATTTATTTATTTTCATTGAAATTTTAATTTTAATTTTCAGGAATCAAACTATCTCATGATTAATAATAATAATAAAATAAACTTTCGTTTTCGAAGTAATTAGCCTTATCACGATTGCCAAAGCTTGGCGTATAAAAAGTGGAGCAGTTGGAGCAGTTTTAAATGCAATTCATCAAAATTTCAAAAAGACCGTTTCAAAGGTGTAGAAATGGCGACAGTTACAGGGAGAGATAAGTACAGGTCTTTCCTAAACAGATAACGTTCAATGGCGACACGGTGGCCCTCCCACATATGATGTCGTCAATCAGCTCTTCGAACAAGGCCGAACCAAAGTCATTTTGATTCTCCTTTTTTCATCTCTCGTAAACTTTTAATTATTTGAATCAGATGTTAATGGACTTGTTGCAGGAATGGGAAGAGGCATCACTAGATAGTGGTAGGTCGAATATCTAAACCGTTCGAATCACAAAATTTTCATTTAATCACTAAATTTGCGAATCACTCATGGCTTAAACATTCAATCATTTTATCTATGCGTTGACTTTATATTTTATTAATTTTTTAGACCAGAGATGGGTACGGGATCCAAACCCAATGGGTTCTAAACCGACCTGACTATATCGGGTTGTTTTTTATTTTTTTTAAATTCAAATTCAGGTTGGGTTCAGATTTATGATGAAAAAATTTTGAACCAATCCGACCCAAAAAAATGAAATTTTATCTTATATTTTTAGAGACAATTGCAATAATACCCTTCTATATATTATTATTTTTTAATTAAATCCTTATTTTTTATTGAATAAAAGTAATGCTTTTTATAAATATATTGTTTCATGAAGGGTCGGGTTCGGGTCGGATGAATGGTGTGTATTTTTTGGATAGGGTGGAGGATGTACAATTTTCAAATCAAATCGGCTTGACTGAAAACTCAACCCATACCCATCCCAAGTTTAGGCTAACCATTATGCCGACTGTTATTGACGACTGCTATTAGACTACATTTTCATATTAACCTATTTTGATCATCCAAGTCTGAATTCAACCTTTATTTCATCTGAATCTATAAACCTCAACTAAATTTCGAACCCCAATCAAACCATAAACCCCATTCAATTAAATATGCATGGGTTCATTCTAGTGTTATATAAAGAATGGATTGTGCTATCTCAGTCGTGCCTCTGCTGGTAGCTTAACAAACTCCATTTCCAGTGACCCAACACCCAAAATCAAATGGGGAACACTTTCCTCAGCTTAGCCCTTCTTCTCATCGTCCATTTCTCTATGGTTACTTTCTCCCTGAAATTAACCACCATACTTACAGACCAATCTGCTCTTCTCGAATTAAAAAACCGTGTTACCATCGACCCTAAAAATGTCATGGCAACTAATTGGTCAACTTCTACCCCAGTTTGCAACTGGTTTGGTGTCAGTTGTGGATTCAAGCACCATAGAGTCACAGCTCTAAACCTTTCTGGTTTGGGACTTGTAGGCACCCTTCCACCCCACTTGGGGAATTTATCATTCCTGTCTCTTCTTTCCATCAGGAATAATAGTTTTCATGGGAGTTTACCTGCTCAGTTATCCGATCTGCATCGGCTGAAATATTTGAACTTTGCTTACAATAACTTTAATGGTGTTATTTCATTCTCTTTAGGCTATCTACCACAGCTAGAGACTCTGAACTTGATGGAAAACCAGATTTCAGGTTCAATACCCTCATCCATCTTCAATATATCTTCATTGCAGAAGATTTATATAAGTAATAATATGCTCTCCGGTTCCATACCCTCTGTCCCAAGAGATTTGCTTTCGCTAGAATTGATAGATTTCAACTACAATAATCTCACTGGTCAAATTCCAGAGGATATGTTCGATCATCTTCCGAATTTGAAAGAACTGTACTTGAGTGTTAACATGCTTTCTGGAAGAATTCCAGTCAGTTTATTCAAGTGCAAAGAGTTACAAATGTTGTCCATATCGTTTAATCAATTGGAGGGGAGTCTGCCGGTGGAAATTGGGAATCTAAGTATGCTTCAGTACATTTACGTTGGTCGGAACCACCTTGAAGGTAACAAGTTTTTAGAAGTTTTTTTCTTCTTCTTTGGTTGTTCTTATAACTCTTCGTCTTGACTAATTCAGATCGATCCGTGTCGCACATTTAATGAATATAATAATTTAGATGAATTTGAGATATATTTCTCTTGATGGTTTATTAATTTATTATTGTAATAATTCTTGTTAGTGACAGTAAATTAGTTTTGAATTGGACATGTGGATTTTAAAATCGCAGGTGAAATTCCGGAGCAAATTATGAACTTAACTCTTATTACGACTTTTGATTGTAGTCATAACAATTTCACAGGTGAGTACTGGACATATATATTTACACTACTATTAACTAAATGTCTAATTACATTCACATCAACTCCAAAATCTAAGTTAATTCAGTCAAAAACTAATCAAAAATTTATTTTAAAGAATAATAAATATTAAGATATACTACAAGAGATATCATTGAATTCTAGACGGTATATAATTTATATGTTTGAACTTTCAATTGTTCTAATTATAATATTGAACTTTGATTTTGATTTTAATTATACCAATGGATCGTTAAAATCCAAACAATTTGATAACATGAATAAAACAACATTACTTTGGTGCAGCATTAATACCTAAGCGACATCATTTTAAGCATTGAAATTTAAGAACGTATCGATCTTGTTATTAAACTACTCATCCTTAATTTGGACTCTTTTATTAACTATACAACTATATATTTATATATATACATTTTTTACATACAACTTTTCACGTATATATTTATATATTATACAGTTTTTACATGTTAGGTAAGAACGATTCTTATAAAAAATTAAGACTTAAATTTGGTCTATTCCAACTTTTTTTTTCAAAAAAATATAATTTTACTTTTTTTATAGTACATCATGAATTGATTGACTAAGGATATAGAAATCTTAAATATAAACTAAAGAGTTTCTTGTATTTGTCTAATATAGTTGTTTGATAAATTTATGGCAGGTACAATATCAGCTCAGATTGGCAACCAAAAGAATCTAGAAGTGTTGAATTTAGCAGGTAACAATTTTGTGGGTACTATTCCTCCCGCAATATTTAATATTTCATCTTTGTCGATCATTGGTTTGGATATAAATAAGCTCTCCGGCCATCTTCCATCAACCTTGGGCCTTTGGCTTCCAAACCTGGAAAATTTTTATCTTGATTTCAACAACCTTGTTGGTTCATTCCCGACGTTAATTTCCAATGCCTCTCAGCTTACTCTTCTTGACATGTCAAGCAATTACTTTTCTGGGTCCATTCCTGACAATCTGGGCAATCTAAGAAATTTAAGGATTCTCAACCTGGCGGATAATAATTTAGCTTCCCCAGGGATGAGCTTTCTCTATTCTCTGGCAAGTTGTAGAGGCTTGGAATTCTTGCTATTCGGAATGAACCCATTGATCAGTGGTAAACTTCCAGGTTTGATAGGGAACCTCTCTGGTTCTCTGCTGGAGTTCTCTGCTTATGGGTGCAACATCAGCGGTAGCATCCCCGGTGAAATTGGCAACTTAAGTGGCTTGATAAACATCGAGCTTGACGGTAATAAATTGACAGGAAGCATACCTGCTTCAATTGGAGGATTAGAAGAGCTGCAAAGTCTCTCTCTTACTCAAAATATGTTACAAGGATCCATCCCATATGAGTTATGCAATCTAAACAAGTTGGCTTTCATGTTCTTGACGAGCAACAACTTGTCTGGACCAATACCTCCTTGCTTGGGTAATCTCATTTCTTTAAGGAAACTACTGCTAGGCTCCAATATGTTTTCTTCCTCTATACCTTCAACATTGACAAGGATTACCGATCTCCTCATGCTAAACCTGTCTTCAAATTCTTTAAGTGGTCCTCTTCCAATTGACATTGGGAAGTGGAAGGTTTTGACTAGTATGGATTTGTCGAACAATCGGTTCTCCGGTGATATCCCAATTGGGGTTGTAGATCTTAAAGACCTCACTAATTTCTCCTTATCCAATAATAGGCTCACAGGTTCTATTCCTGAGTCATTTGGCGACATGTTCAGTTTGGAGTTCTTGGACTTGTCAAGAAATAATCTATCAGGAGAGATTCCCAGGTCCTTAGAGAAACTTCGTTATCTCAAATGTTTCAATGTCTCATTCAATAGACTTCATGGAGAAATTCCTGAAGGAGGATCGTTTGGAAACTACTCGATTGAATCATTTGAGGGGAATGAAGCATTGTGTGGTGCACCTCGACTACGTGTTCCAACCTGCAAAACTAAACCTATTAGGAGTTCCAAGGCAAGAACTAAACTCATAATATACGTAGCACTACCAATTGCATCTACAATTTTGGTGGTCGCTCTATTTATCATTATCTTGAAAAGTAAGAAAAGGAGAGACAAATTACAAATTCAAGAAGACTTGCTACCTTTCGGAACACGGAGACGATTTTCTTACCACGAGCTTCATCAAGCTACTGATGGATTCAATCAGAGCAAATTGCTTGGTAATGGGAGCTATGGTTCTGTATACCAAGGGACTTTCTCAGATGGGATGACTTTTGCTGTAAAGGTCTTCAAGTTAGAGTTAGAAAAAGCTTTTAAGAGCTTTGACGTTGAATGTGAAGTTCTTTGCACCACCCGTCACCGGAATTTAATCAAAATCATTAGTAGCTGCACTAATAATCTTGATTTCAAAGCCTTAGTGCTTGAGTTCATGCCTAATGGTAGTCTTGATAAATGGTTGTATTCCAATAACCATTTTCTGGATATCCTACAAAGACTGAACATAATGATAGATGTTGCATCTGCACTTGAATATCTCCATCATGGTAATGCAACACTCATTGTTCACTGTGATTTGAAACCCAGCAATGTACTATTAGATGAAGATATGGTTGCACATTTGAGTGATTTTGGCATTGCGAAACTCTTATGTAATGACGATTCAATGATACAAACCATGACCATGGCAACAGTTGGGTACATGGCACCAGGTGATATTTCTCTTTAAACTCTTTTTCCCCCCTTTAAAATATTAGGGTAGCATGTGGATAAGGGAAAGGATAGTATATATTAAGACTTGAATTTCAGACCTATTGAAAGGAGGCATATACATTAAGTTCAAATCCAATTATAGCATTCGAGCATACAACATTTTAGATATTTTATAGAATTTCACAATCAAGATATCTTTGAATATTGATGATGATCTTGTAAATTCATACACAGAGTACGGAACTGAAGGAATTGTTTCAACAAAAGGTGATGTGTACAGTTTTGGTATTCTCGTGATGGAAACCCTCACAAAAAGACGACCTACAGATGAAATGTTTGCAGGAGAAAGAAGCTTGAAGAGTTGGGTGAAAGATTCAATATCATCTTCACTGAATCAATTAGCAGACACCAATTTGTTTAGCGCTACTGGAAAGGATTGTTCGGCAGCTAATAATTGTGCTTTATCCATCTTGAGAGTTGGCTTAGAATGCTGTGTAGAATTACCTGCTGAGAGGCCAGATGTGAAAGAGGTTGTTGCGAAGCTAAACAAGATCAAAGTGGAAATATTAAAGGATATTGAACTGGTTCTATGAAGAGGCAGTCATTGGTTTACTGTTCTGTTTACATCATCAATTCAATCCTATTATATCTAGCTATCTACTATTCTGCAACTTTATTCTGACACTATCTTTAATCATGATAATTATTTGCAGTTTACTCATGTTTCCCAGCAAACTGCCGAGAATTTATTAAATGTAAAATAATCGTCATATATGATTCTTTCTCAATTGTTATATTCTCCGAGGTGCAGGCCTCCAAAACGAAAAAGTTCAAAGACTTGAGATTCCACATCGAAGTCAAACAGCCATTATTTAATTAAAAAAGAGGGCAAAACTAGAGGTGGCAATCGGATAATTTCGGATCGAGTTATTTTAGGTCGGGACATTTCGGATTTAGACTGCATTCGATTTAGGTTCGGTTTGGAGCGGGTCGGATTCGGTTCGGATTTAGTTTGAGTCTATGGAAATTCAATTTGGGTCAGGTCAAATTTGGATTGGTTGATTTTTAGATCGGGTCAAAACCAGATCGGTTGGTTTTCTGGTCGGGTTAATATCGGATCAGTTGGCTTTGGATCGGGTCAAAATCGGATAAATTGGTTTCGATTTGGGTTAACCATTAGATTTTTGGGTCAATTTTGATCGTTTCAATTCGGGTCAACCTTTAGATTTTTAAGTCAATCATTGTCTCTCTTTGTCATCATAATTTTCAGTGTTGCTCTTTATTACTTATAATTCAATGATTTTATGTGAATATATATTGTCGAATCACAAATTAAGAGCTAGAAGTTTTAATTTAAATCAATAAATCTTTAAAATCAAAAAATTTATGTGAATATATATTGTCATAGTCTAAATTCAAAGCTAGAAGTTATTATATCATATATAAAGATGATCTTTTAACTGAGAAATATTATATTGAACCATTAAATTATTACTCAAAGTGGTGATTAACTAGTAATATAATATAAAATGAGAATAAAATATACAACATTTTACTATTTATCACTGCTAAAAATAGATAAAATAAATAAATAAATAAATTATTCATACACTTAGACTCAATTATCTGGTTAAAATTAAGTCGAAGTTAGGTTCGGATCGAATATGGGTAAACTAAATTTGGGTTGCTTTTGGTTCTTGTTGCATTCGTTTAGATTTTATCGATTCGGGTTACTTTCGGTTTGAGTTAATTTCAATTTGAGTTGCTTTCAATTTGGATTGCTTTCGATCCAACTAAAATTTGGGTTGGTTTCGGTTTGATCCAGATTATTTCGGGTTTCGGATCAATTTTGGGTCTTGTTGTTTGGGTCTAAGATTGAGAAAATTGGTTCAAGTAATCGGATACGAGTCAAATTTGCCAAGTCCAGGCAAAACTTCATGAAAACTTGGTCAATGTGTTTAATCCATGTTAATTTATAGGTATGGTTAGGGGTGAACATTCGAACGAGTCGAGTCGAGTTAAAAAATTTTGAGTTATTCGAGTTGATGAGTTCTATTTTATAACTCGAAGTTGACTTGAAATTTTTTCGAGTCGAGTCGAGTTTATAAAATTTGAGTCGAATTTTTGAGTTTCTATTTCAATTTAATTGTAAATATTATGATATTATTTGATTCCAAATTAAATGATTTTTTATAATCATATACAATACATATATATTTCTTCATTTTTTTCATATGTGATACATATATCATACAGAGTCGAGAGACTCGACTCAAACTTGAAAATCAATCCTCTAACTGAAATTTTCAAATTATATTTTACAACTCAATTTGAACTTGAATTTTAAAGTCGTGTCGAGTTTTACTCACCCTAGGTGGTCTGATGTTGAGAGGTACTATTAGAACAAGGGGAAAAACACCTGGAAGAAGTAAAAATAAATATTTCAACCTCATTGCATGTTCTAAGAAATTTCTGGGCTTGTTTTAATTTTAATTGTCAATGCAACCATATATATTAGTGTGTGGTCATACAATTAACAATGAATAAATAGAGTGATCATCCAATTAATGGACCCATTCTAGTGTATATAAAGAGAGAAAAATCTATCTTGCTGTATCAATAAATTGGTCTGTTACCACCCTGTTTGCAACTGGTTTGGTGTCCGTTGCGGATCGAAACACTGAATAGTCACAGATGTGGACCTTACTGGGTTGGACTTCTAGGCACCTTTCCACCCCACTTGGGAAATTTATCATTTTTTTCTCTTCTTTACGTCACAAACAATAGTTTTTATGGCAGATTACCTGTCCAATTGTCCAATCTGCAATGGCTGAAATATTTAAGCCTTGGTGACAACAGCTTCAGTGGAGAAATCCCATCACGGTTGGGATCATTAACTGAACTTCGAACTTTGTTTCTGTACCATAACAACTTCAAGGGTGTAATTCCATTCTCTTTAGGATATCTCCCAAAGTTAGATCTTGAGCTTGTATGGAAACCAAATTTCGGGTTCAATACCACCCTCCATCTTCAATATATCTTCGTTACAAAGAATAAATCTAAGCAATGATATGCTCTAAGGTTCCATACCCTTTGTTTCAAGTGGTTTGCTTTCACCATATTTCTTTGATTTCAACTACAAGGATCTTACCGGCGATATTCCAGAGGATATTTTGATCGTCTTCCGAATTTAAAAGAACTACACTTGGAGGATAACCTGCTTTCTGGAAGAATTCCAGCCAATTTATTCAAGTGCAATGAGTTGCGAATCTTATTCTTAACAGATAACCAATTGGAGGGGAGTATACCGATAGAAATTGGGAATTTGAGTATGCTTCAAATCTTCGCTATTGCGAACAACCACTTTGAAAGTAAATACAAACCATTTTTGAGTGTTTTTTTTATTGCAATAACTCTTGCTAGTAGATGAGTTCTGGCTTTTTCCTTATCCAATAATAGAATCACAGGTTTTTTCCCCGAGTCACTTGGTGACTTGTTGAGTTTGGAGTTCTTAGACTTGTCAAGAAATAATCTATCCGGAGGGATTCCCAAGTCCTTGCAGAAACTCCATTACCTTAAATATTTCGATGTCTCTTTCAATAGACTTCAAGGAGAAATTCCTGAAGGAGGATCATTATGAAACTACTCGATTGAACCATTTGAGGGGAATGAAGCATTGTGTGGTGCACCTCGTCTTCACGTTCCAACCTGCAAAACTAAACCTCTCAGGAATTCCAAGCCAAGAACTAAACTCATAATATATGTAGCACTACCAATTGCCTCTACAATTTTGGTCGTGTCTCTAGTTATCATTATCTTGCGTTGTAAGAAAAGGAAAGACAAATTACAAATTCAAAAAGACTCGCTACCTTTTGGAACACGGAGACGATTTTCTTACCATGAGCTCCATCAAGCTACTGATGGATTCAATCAAAGCAAATTGCTTGGTAATGGGAGTTATGGTTCTGTATACCGAGGGACTTTCTCAGATGGGATGACATTTGCTGTAAAGGTCTTCAAGTTAGAGTAAGCTTTTAAGAGCTTCGACGTTGAATGTGGAGTTCTTTGCAACATCCGTCACCGAACTTAATCAAATTAATTAGTAGCTGAGCTAATGATCTTGATTTCAAGGCCTTAGTACTTGAGTACATGCCGAACAAGAGTCTTGATAAATGGTTGTATCGTACAATAATGATAGATGTTGCATCCGTGATAGAATATCTCTTGGATAATAAAATATTAGTAAAATTACATTTGATCTCTTAGATAGTAAAATTTATTAAATCATAAGTTAAAGCAACAATAAAATTATAATCGATTGAAGGACGAACTCTTGCTTGCCACTAGTCAAGCATCACCCAATTATAATCGACATAATAGTTTATTAGAAACTATTCAATATTTGATAATTCTTTTCTTTAATCTACTTTATAATCGATTGAGAGTGAACTCTCTCTTATTACGTTATTATCTATCGTGGATCGTTATATCAACATCGTAAATTATCATATCAATATCTTAACGATCAATATTCAATTCTATCAATGAAATGGTCATATTATTTTTTTCAATTTAAATGTCACATCAAAAGTAAAATAAATTTAGGGTCATATTGATTTTTTTTGAGAAAAAATTTGAGCGTTTAAATGTCATTAAGTCATCGACTTTTAATAATTTTCCTTGAAAATTAAAACCCAGCTCCTTTTTTTTTTCAACTAGATTAATCTTTTATAATTTTCCTTTCTTTTTCCTTCCCTTCTCTCTCCATGCCAATTCACCAAAATGCCCTCCTTGTTTCGCTCTAACTCATCATCTCCCCCTCCCTCGTCCGCTCCGCCTAACGACACCGTCCCTTGCCCTCCCTCCTCCGACGAAATGTGGAATTACCTTCTTGTCCCCATCCTCCTCTACCTCTCAAAAGAACTCTCCCTTGCTAAAGCCCAAACCTCCACTGGACTCCTCCTCCCGAGTCAACGTGGCGACGGCTCGTCCACCGATTCATCGACTGCTTCCTCTCCGAGTTGCACGGTTCTTGACCCAAATCTCTATTATCGGCCGGTGATCGGAATTCTTACTCATCCGGGAGACGGCGCGTCGGGGAGGCTGAACAACGACACGAACGCTTCATACATAGCTGCGTCGTACGTGAAGTTCGTGGAAGCAGCTGGAGCTCGAGTGATTCCCCTTATCTATAATGAACCGGAAGAGATTCTTTTCGAGGTAATCACGATGCTTCTTTCCTTCTAAAAAGGCAAATTTTGACTTTAGTAGTTGGTGGTTTGAAGTTTGGTTAAAAAAATTAGATGGTTTGTCTCTATTTTTGGAAAATAGAACTCCTGATTTTGGGTTTAGAATCTTAATTCACTTATCTGCTCAAGAAAATCTCCATTTTATTTTATTTTTTGGGTAAGTAAAAGAAATTGTCTATTCAATTTATTTGATACTTCTGATTTTTATTGCCTACATTAAAAAAATAAATTTTCAACGTTTTTGTCTAAATATTAGTTAATAATCACAAAGATAGGACACTGCAGGAATACCAGTTGTTACAATCTCTTTGTTCTCTATGCAAATGATTGGACAGTTGTGAAAAGATATTTTGATTGCCTATTCATTTAATCTTCTCGCTTTGATTTGCTAATTTACATGATTTAGATTTATTGTTTTCTTCCTTCGCCGAAAGCCTGACATCTAGCTGTCTTCTCCACCATTGTATTGCAGAAGCTTGAACTGGTTAATGGCGTGATTTTTACAGGCGGGTGGGCTAAATCCGGCTTGTACTTTGAGGTGGCTCAAAAGATTTTCAAGGTAATTTGTTTTTGTATTTGTTTTTCACTTGATTTTATGAAATCAACTCCAAGCATACAGGAGTTTGGTGTTAACAAGCGAGTCTACTACTTCAAGTTATTTCTTTACACTTCGATTGCATGTAATATTTGCATATAATTTTTTTTATTTTTTTTATTTTTTTGTGTGCGCAGAAAGTTATAGAGAAGAATGACAGGGGAGGCCATTTCCCACTATATGCCATTTGTTTGGGTTTTGAACTTTTAACAATGATTATCAGTGAAGTAAGCACTGTTGCATTATCTGACCTCTTCTCTTTTATTTCATTCTATTGCTTCTTCAGACTTTTATCTGTTTAAAGGCTTTTCTTGATGTGGTTAACTTTTGTTCACTATGCTGCTCTTAGCACTATGTACTGTTCATTAATATCTCATGGCAAAATAACAAAATAAGAGGTTTCAAATTTCTTGATTTAATGAAATTTGGAATTTGCATTTGTGAGAGATTACTCTTGTCCCAACATGTCTAAACAATGCCAGTCCTGGATGTTCACCTTATTGCAGTATTTGATCTGTTTGGATTTCAAGGTTAAATTGTTTGTGGCATCCCATTCAAACCAATGGTCGATCTTGTTGGAAAACATTTGATAATGGATTTGATCACCTCTTGGTTTTATAGCAATCACTCCATTTCAGATTAGCTTAATTCCATTCATGTTTCTTGATCTTATTACTTTACTTTAAGATTACTTTGTTGAATTATAAAAAAATTAACTAAGTCTGGTTTTACAACATTTTTTCTTCTTGCTGGTAGGACAAAAATATTCTTGAAACATTTGCTGCATCAAATCAAGCCTCTACTCTCCAATTTGTGAACAACATTAATATTGAAGGAACAGTATTTCAAAGGTACAGAACCTTTATTACCTTTCAGGGTAAATAAATATGTTTGGTTTCATTTTTATAATAATGATTTGCTCAAGCTATACATTATTATCCTAGGAGGATTAAGTATTTTATATTTTGAAATATCTAACCTTCCAATCAGTAGCAGAGGTGAGGTGATTTTAAGCTGATAATTTGTAGTTTGGTCCTAGTTAGTTGCAATCATATTTTGAACGTCTAGAAAGAGGGGAATTGTCAGAAACTTTCTACTGAGCCCAACCTGATTAAGATCTATTTTGTTAAGACCTTTTGTGGTTTCTTATAATCTGTGTAGATATATGTTAATTGCTCTAGTCAGTGGCTATACTTGTACAGCTTCATAGTTTCTCTTTTTTGCAGATTTCCTCCAGCTTTGCTGCAAAAGCTAGAAACAGATTGCCTAGTCATGCAAAACCATAAGGTGAGTTTCATTGGTTCCTTCCATTGATATTTTAAATCAGTCATACAATTTGTTCCATTTAGCCTTTTGCTTCTCTGGCATGGCCTCTCTGGTTCATTCCTAAAACCATGAACTGATTTCCTTGTGCATATTATTATGGGAGATGAAATGTACTTTTAACGCACTTTAAATTGTTCATGCCTTTTTGTTCTCCTAATCTGTAATCTGATTTCCTTGAACCACGTCCTTTGTCTCAAAAAGCCTAAATTAGAATAAAACTCAACAGAATCTGTGACAGAATTGAGAAAAAAAAAACGATATGTATTACATTGAGAAATTAGGTATAGTACATGTATCAAGCAAACAATTAACCCCTACTAAAATTATTATCTTTCTTTCATGTGCATATAAAGAGAATTCAGTGGCACATTGTCTATGTTATGCTTTATATTTACAAGCTAATTAGCATTGCCTAAGTCAATGTCTCATTGTTACAGTATGGCATTTCACCAGAGAAACTTGAAAATACTCCAAACTTGTCCAGATTCTTCAGGATCTTAACGACAAACACAGATGAAAATAACCAGGTTCTGAATCTTAAATCACCATGCCTTAGGCTTGTCTTAACTAGATTTATCTCATTACACTTTCTGGATGCTTTAAGTGCCCTTATTTCCATTGAAGTGTTGATAACAGGTATATATCTCGACCGCACAAGCACATAGTTATCCTGTCACGGCCTTCCAGTGGCATCCAGAGGTACTTCTAGTGCTTTCCGTTCATCTTCCTGTTTATGCCTCCCAACATTTTGGCGTGACACTTTTAATTTTTACTGTAAAAGAATAATCCTATTTATGATCACTACAAGGAATTGGTTTCTGTTTTCTACTTGTTAACTTTTCTATCTCTGCTTCTGTTTCTCCTGGTTCTTTTAACTTTGTTTGCAAAACTGTAGTGTTATTCTATGATCCACCAAGACACTTCATTTCCGTATGAATAGTATTGACCATATATTTTGCAGAAAAATGCTTTTGAATGGGGCTCGAGTATGATTCCACACTCAGAATACGCCATTGAAGTGACGCAACATGTTGCAAACTTCTTAATCAGGTTAGGAATAGTTCTCTCTATATTGTTAATAAAGGAAAGCTTTATGAATATAAAAAGGATGAAAGGGAAAGAAAAAGGCTTGTTTCATTTTAAAAAAGAAATACCAGCCCATTATGGATTAATGTTGATTGAAAATTTACGCAGCTAAAACCATTAATTCATTACTTGTTCTGTTGATTTCTTGTTGTAGAATTATACCATCTCAGCATCTCTTTTATCTGTTTGGAAGTTGAGGTAATTTCATTTCTTCTGGTACAGAGAGGCTAGGAAGTCGCTGAACAGGCCACCTGTTTGGAAAGTGCTTGAAAACCTTATTTATAATTATAGCCCCACATATTGTGGAAAAGCCGGGTAATCTGATAAAATCCTTTTTGAGTTTTGGACAATATTAGGAATTTGTATTTGAATGTAAGTCGATTGACATGGTGGTGTATTCGAATGCTGTAGGAGGGGCTTCGATGAGGTCTACATCTTTACACAACGTCAAGCTCGAATTTGATAGGGTTGCTCTCGAGTACAGGGCCTCTGCTATCATAAGCCAAAGATGTATGTTGCTGGATATATGTATATTGTTGACATTGTATGTGATTTTATGGATTGTGAGATCTGAATCACAATGTGCTTTTATGGTTTGTGAGTTCTGAATCCGATTGCTCTCTTCGTATATGCAAGTTATGGACTGGAACTGGATGCTTGCTACTAGTAGAAATAACAGGAAGAGAATGTTTTCTTTGTATTTTATTCATCAACATTATGAGTATATATACAAATATAAAGCTCCTATAATGTATAAAGTAATATTCTACATTAACTACATAATATCATACATTAAAAATAATATATATCGACTCTAATATTGAGCCTATAAATACGTAACTCCCTCACAAGTTGAAGCATAGATATTAATCATGCTCAACTTCTTGTATGGATAATCAATTTGGACTCTATTAGGAGTTTATGCTCAAATTGTTGTATAGATAATCAATTTGGATTTTATTAGTAGTTTTTGTGAAAATATCTCTTAATTATTCTCCAGTTTTCACATAGTTGATGGCAATCAAATCTTCTTGGATATTTTCGTGAATAAATTAACAATTAACTTCAATATGTTTTGTTCGTTCATGAAAGATTGGATTAGAAGCAATGAAGTGTAGCTTGATTGTAACAGCATAGCTTTGTAGGTACTAGAACCTTACACGAATTCATTGAGAAGTTGGTATATTCGTATGATTTTACACACAGACTTAATCATAACTCTAAATTTAGCTTCTGTACTATCGTGAGAACATATTATATTTCTTTCATATATAATGTTCAATCTGAATTTAAAAAACATTTGATCTTAGAATGACCATAACTGGCATATAAAAATTGACGTTCATGAGCACTCTTCAAATATGCACAACTTGTTTTATTTCGTTCCAATAATCGACAATTGGTGATGACATATATTGGTTCAACACATTTATCAATAAGCAATATCATAATGTGTCAGAAAAAGATAATTCAACTTTCGGTAAGTATTTTTTACCTCTCAAGATTTGCATATAACTCAACTTCTTTGATTAATTGTAAATTATGAATCATTGAATTAGTATATGTTTAGCACCCAATTTTCTAAACTCCAATAATAAATCAAGCACATACTTCTTCTGGGATAGAAGATTCATCTCTTATTCATACTAACTTCAACTCTCAAAAAATACTTTACTAAGTTTTTAATATGAAACTGAGCGTGGAAAAAAGACTACATGGATAAAATTTCGCTAGAATCATCATAAATAACTACAATACCATCCACATATACAATTAACATAATAATGCCTCCATAAGACTTAAAATAATGATTTGACTTGCTCTTCAGCATCTTGAACTTCTCAATAGTTTGGCTAAACTTCTCAAACTAAACCCAATGACTTCATTTGAAGTCATATAGAGATTTTTTTTCCTTTCAAAAGACATGCTTTACATACTCCCTGAGCAACAAAACTAGGTGGTTGCTCCATACACCTCCTAAACATCATCATGAAGAAAAATATTCTTTATGTCTAACTGATGCAAAGGAGATAAATAATCTAACTAAAGCAAGTTTAGCGACGAAAGAGAAAATATCATGATAATCAATTCCATAAGTCTGAGCATATCTCTTAACAATTCTAGCTTTCAATTGAGCAATTGAACCATCAAGATTGAATTTGACATTAAACACCCATTTACATTCAATATAGCTTGTTTACCATCGGGTAAAGTAACCAAAGATCAAATCCCACTAACATCTAGAGTAGTCATCTCCTAAAGCCATTGCATACTCTCTTGATTCAAGTCGGTTAATTCTTTTCAGTAAAATGTTAGGAACATAAGTGAGTGGCCCTAAAGTTTATAAAGGGTTCCAAAGAAGACAAGAGAATAATGTACATGATTTACATTCAACCTTTGCATACATTGCACTCTGTATTCTCTCTATTCTCGACTCTCTTGGATCAAGTTGGTCGGCTCACTCAAAACATACTTTGGTAGTTCATACTTGGCACCTGTAAAAAAGAGTTGGTATTTGTTAGAAGAAATTTCAAACCAAAAAGTGTGACCTTCTCGAAGTTAATTATTTTCAAGGAGGTCGAATCATAGAGGTGTTGAAGGACGTTCGAGTGGTTATCATTTATCAAAGTTCGATTCAACAAAGTAGACTTACCTCTTTCATCGTAGCAGACAGTTAAATCAGCAGATTGCACTATGACCCCAGCACTGTCCACAATAGCTTGAGCAAGGGTTAAATCAGCTTCAGCAGCAGCTCGAAGTGCATCCCAGATCTCTAGTGTCAAGGAAGTTGACATTTACATCCAAATCCATGTGAAGAAAAGTAAATTATTTATATTATACAGATTTAAAGCAAAATTGCTTTATCAAAAGGAGAAGGTTATTAAGAAAACCATATCTGTTCCACTCATTTTCAATCTATAATTCTAATGTTTTGATTCTACAGTAAAACTAGATAGCATTTTAGCAAAGGAACCAGATTTCTTGTTGAGACTAGAAATTGCAGACATACAGCCTGTGATATTTATTCCTATATTTAAACAAAGAAATCATTTTATTACTTGAGGCTTTTTTAACTGGGAAATGATACTGTTATCAGAATCTCCTAAATACCAATGTTTAGTTTGACAATCACATCCTCTGAGAACCTTCTATGAGACCTTTAGTTCACATTAGTAACTCTACCTTGATCAATCAACACTAAAACAAGTTATCTTTAATGCATAGCTAACAGTCTCGGTGATAGGGTTGGCCTACCTAATTTATACCTTTCGGTTGCAGTTGATTCCCATACTTGAATAATATTACTGATAATCGAAGCTCTTAATTTTACAGATGAGGGGCGAGGAACATAAAGGACGGACAAGAAAATACCTCACTGTATGAATCCAAGTATCTAAGTTATAATTTTATATAAACAATTCCAGGTCTGACTTCAGAACCAACTTGAAATGATATAGATCAATTCAGTTTTCCGTAAAAACGGATCCCCACATAACTAGGTAAGCATATTGGCGGGTTAGTTGCCTTTATCAGATTATCCACTCGAGACTTCAGCATTTTCCGCGTTCCCTTAACTCTTACAGCAAAAAAGAAAAGTTTTCTCAATTTGTTCAACTCGAGATGAACAAAATTTCTTATCACTTACAAAATTGATAATCGTGGAAAGATACTTGTAATCTTATGCATCGAAAGCAAACAGTTGATTTCTAGTAACAAACTCATTAGTGGTTATATGTTATAGGTAGCAATTACCTTTCTTGCCGCCATAATGAGGTGCAGTGTCCCAAAACTCTTCACGCATCTGCACAAATTCAGACTTCGTTATCGGCTGAGGATGTTTCCAGGGTTTTGGTTTCCGGATCATTTTCACATTCCCTGTTGGATCCAAAAGAATTCACTGTATCATTAACTAGGCGTAAACTTCGAACGCAAATATATAAGCTTTAGTTCATACTGTGTGTTTATGAGAAAGTGTTAGTTGCTTAGTTAACAGACTGTAACAAGAAACTAATCCGATGCTTAACTCAACGGGCTCATGTAACCAGTCTTAACAGGAGGCATTTAGCAAGTCCAAGATTAGAAACCAACATCTACAATCCCTTCCCCTAACCCCAAACCGAGACCTCTTTGGACCGAAATAAAGTTCTCTATATGATTATGAATTGTGCTAAACTGATCCATTGCTATACATATGACAATAACATGAATCTTCAAACTTTAAAATATTGAATCTCAACACAATAGCAAAATAGCAGTAAATAAATTAACAATGTAGTTTCTTGCAAATCCAAAAATGCCATTTTTCTTAATTGAGAAAGCTAAATGGAAAACATAAGAAATTTTCAGAACTTCTGGAAAACAAATTGAGTACTGATTGCAACCTAATATGCAAACATTCAAATAGTCATCCCAAATTTAGCAGCCACAGACCCATTTTTCTTTTCCTTCTCTTTTAAACAAAAATAAAAGTAAATGAAATTCAAGCGGCAGCTTTTTAGCTGCTCAGAAAATATCAAAAACTTTTACTACTTAATCTACCATTTGACTAGCCTAGCTCAAACAATTCAGAGATGTCATTGTTCTTTAAGTTTCCAACTTTCCCGACGATTTTCTCAGCAAACAAACAAAGAAAAAACAAAAGCAAACAAAGTAAAATAGCCTTACCGTCTCCTTTGGCCGGCGTCGATCCAACACAGCCCATTCTGCTTTCCTTCTAAACCCCCAGAGTCTCACAATTTTCAAAACTCAAGAAAGGGTTTTTCTTTTCTTTTTCAAAGCAAATTCTTCTTCATTTAAATTTGATTGAAGTCAGAGTTTGTTTGAGAAAAGATAAGGAGATGAACTGTGTTCCGGTGATTAAAAAACAAGGCTGCGGTATTCCGGTGAGTAAATTATATTTTTAAAGGAAAATGATTTGACTGATAATTGAGTAAATAATAATGTAATAAAAAGGGAAAAATGTGTAATAATAATAGTGAATCGATTGAGAAAGTGGTGGTTGGCTGTCATGTTTCTTCTTCGTGACTTTATATTTTCTTTTTTTCATAATTTTATCCTATATTGTAGGGAATTTTCAATTCAAATCCTTTCAACTTTAATTTATAACAATTAAGTCCTTCAAGCTCAAATTATTTTATAAGGCTTAATACCCAAATAAGTGCTCAAGCTATATTTTCCCCCGAATAGGTGACTATAGTATTTTTTTTGGAGCATCCAAGTATCTAACGTTACAAACGTGACTATTTTAGGTGCCCGGGACGTAATGACCGTTTGTTTTATTCATTAAGTGACACGTGTTACAATATGATAATTTTAAATTTTTTTAGAAAAATATTAAAAATATTATTATATTTATAAAGAAACCCCTAATTCCTTTTAAATACAAAAAAAATTCCTCAAATACTTAAAATCCTCAAATCCTAACATTAACTCGCCGTCGTTGCCCTTTTTGGTCACGACCACCGTCGTCGACGCAGTCCCTGCCATCTTATAGGTCATCGATTGGCCGTCAGATTTTCATCCTAAGATTCGTCGGGCATAAAATGTCGATTCGTCGTCGATCGGCCACGATTTCATAGGAGATTTGGTCGTCGGGGGAGGTGAGGTCGGGTGAGGCTTCTTCGATGACAAATGGTGGTGATATGTGGTTTAGGGATTGAAATGAATGTTTTCAATGGTTTTTGGGTTATTTCAAAATTTTATGTTTTCTTTTTAAAAATATATAATTTATTCTTTTAATTTTATATAAATTTTTTAAAATTATCAGATTATGACACATGTCACTTAACGGATGAAAAATGCCATTGACGGCCTTAGCACCTAAAGTGGTAACGTTTATAACGTTAGGCACCTTAATGATCCAAAAAATACTATAGACACCTATTCGGAAAAAAGAGAATAGTTTGGATACTTATTTGAGTATTAAGCCTTGTTATAACATTTAAAATATTATTAATTTTTGATCATTCATGGCCGTTCAAAATTAATCTTTTACGATTATGAAATACATTTTCTATAATATGAAATATTGGGTTTATAAACATAAAGTAATAGAATAAAATGTGTGCCATGTATACTGAGACTTAAATAAAATAATTTTGAGAGAATTTACTTATAATAATATTCTATTAGTTTGAGTTTGCTATTTGACGCTCGATATCTTCTATAGTATAGGACTAATTTAAGGTATTGAAACCTAAAATGACTAAAGCATCCTCTAGTTGGTAGGTTTGGAAACGAATATTTTGTTCGAACTTATTGATTGTGATAAACTTGAAGCGATTGATGTATCGATTATAGAAGCCTTAGTGGCCACGAATTAATGATTAGCCTTAACGGTGCTATTGTAATGTATGTGATGATATTAACACTAATATGTGATCTAAATGGTGATTATATTATAAATCAACATTCGTAATTAAAAACAACTCATTAGGTAATTTTCTCTTATTCCTAAGTTGTTCATCCTTTTTTTCCTTTTTTTTCTTTGTTGAACGACAGCGACACTAATTTTAATATTATTATCGGTCGTTCATATTCTTTATTATTATTTTATTTTCTTATATTACATCTTTATTTTCTTTTGTTATTTTATTTTCAATAAGTCTGCATGTATGACATGTTTTCATATATTTTTATGATACGTTTTTATCTGTACTTATGACATGTTTTCTTCTGCCTTTTGACACGATTTTCTATCGTTGTGTTCACTTATTTTTTTTTAAAGTTGATTAGACATCACTACGACTAATCAAGATGACGTTTATCTGTTATATTGTTGATATTCCTTACTTTTAACTCTCATATTGATTTGGATACTTATTATGCGTTCGTATATAGCTTTTCATGTCACTCGAGTATGGTTTGCGATTTGTCGGTGGTCTTTCAGTAATTTAATATTCTTTTGTGGTTCGTTTGTTGATGCAATAATACATGTTTGTATCTATCTTTGTTCGAATTTTCTTGGTTAGATTTTAATATTTTCTTGTATGTTCCTTGTGTGATCTTAAGTTGCTGGTTTTGTTTCAATGATTATAGGAAATTATCCTAATCATGTGCTTAATTTATGATTATGATCGTGAATATTTATTGTAATTTAATTTATTTTTTGTTTTGAATAAAATTAGTGATTTTTATTAAAAATGAATAAATAAATCAACATTCATAAAGAGTATAATACATGGTTGCACCAAATATAGAATCTTATAGAGCATGAGCAGTTGCTGCTGTGTCCGTGGCCACAGCTATATTTTTGGGTTTTAGCCCAAATTATATAGGGATATATAATAGTGGTATTTGATTGTTAGGTTTTAGCCCAAATCATATAGGAATATAACTTACAAATGACAAAAAGGATAAATCTTAAACATGGTTTATCTTTGTACATGGAGCAATTAGCAATTACATTTGATTGGTGGTTAAATTATATTTTTTTTTGTAGGTCATTGGTTTTAGACCGACTAAAAACACCCTCATTCCTTCTTCTAAAGTCTTATCTTCCCATCCAATGACAAATATAGAAAAATTTTATGGACTGAACTAATATAAATATAATAAAAAAATCATCTAACACAATATATATATATATATGTTATTAATTTAAAAATATAATAATAATTATATATATTAAAACTAGAAAAAAAATATTAATTGGAGCAACATAATTTTCTTAACCTAATTCATACATATTTTTATTTAGGGTAAACTACATATTTTGCTACCCATCTATTACTTGGTTTATGATTTGGCTAGTCAACTATTGTTTTTTTCCAAAATCATACATAACGTTAGGTTTTGGTTCTGTTTTGGTTACATCCGTTAGAAAAATAATATGATATTTTTTAATTTTTTCAGTCATGATATAACATTATCTTATGATGTCATATCAACATCACTGTTAATTTTTAAAGAAGAGTGATCAAAACAAAACTAAAACGTAACGTAAGGTATGATCTAAAACAAATCATAATTAGATGACAAAAACTAAAACTAAATAATATATGGATGACTAAATAAGTAATTTACTCTTTTTTGGACATGGGTTGGGTAACGACCTAGGTAGGCGCTGGCCTAGATACACCCATGTCCATCATTTTAAGGGCAAAATGGTCGGAATAATGCATGGGGGATTATTTTTCCCCAAATAATGCAGTTCGATTATTATTTCCCCAAATGGGGTGAAATCTACAGTGTTGCATGGTTGCATGGGATATCTCGACGTCTTCAACGTATTTCTCTCTTTGTTCCACCTTAAGTTGTTATTCTTCACTCAATAAAGAGCTATTGTTAATCCAAGAATGAAAAAGAAAGAATGTAATGGAAACAACCATCACGACTGCCACATGTGCCTTCTTATTTCGAGAGTGAAGGTTTGTCGAATGAGCTCCAGAGGCACAGGAAGGCAAGGGAACCCCACAAAGTTCAGAGTTGTTCTCATATATTGAGGCGGGGAAAGTAGTCAGTTGACCTTCGGTAGGGATCGAATCGGTTAGGTTGTTGTTGAATACATCAAGGTCACTAAGAAAACTGAGAGTCCCTAATAACCCTAGCAGATATCCTTGGAGATTATTATGAGAGAGGTCCAAGACACCAATAACTTTCAAACCTCCAAAACTTTCAGGAATGTTACCCATTAGCTTAATATGTCCCACATGCAGCAGCAACAAAGCAGACATGTAGAGCTGAAGACGCCGAGCATTCCAACCCCTATTAAGTATAAAGACACCGAGCATTCCAAAGGGTCGTTGCATGGGTGGTTTCCTTGAAGACGCCGAGAGATCCAATAGTGGTTTGTATAGGAAAATTTTCATCTAAAGACGTCGAGATATCCCATGCAACCATGCAACTGTAGATTTCACCTCATTTGGAGAAATAATAATCGAACTGCATTATTTGGGAAAAAATAATCCCCATACATTATTCCGACCATTTTGCCCCCTTTTAAGAGGATTAAGATTATATTTAAAAAATTAAAAAAGAAATAATAAATTACAACCATAATCAATTAATTATAGAATATTTTAATATGATTATTAATATTTTATTTTTATCAATTAAATTAATTAAATAATATTAATTAAACCACCCGTCCTTAATATATGATGATAAAAATATTGAGGCTACATACAAACCTACAAAATAAGTGGGAAAAACATGTTAGGCTACAATATCCAAATTCTTTGGTTTAATTCTTTTAATACTATAATTAAAGTAATGCATTTTTCTTTTATTAAAAATGGAAAATTAATTAGTTTTAGAAATCTTCCAAAAGCTTTTCGGTGGGATTTTTTTTTAATCTTTTTGTCTCTCTTATAGAGGAACAAGTAGGATGATGAGTCAACAGAAACAATAGATATTCCAGTGACGGAGCTATGCTGGGCCCCAGTGACGGAGCTATGTCGGGCACAAATGACCTCCAACCCCTGTAAAAATTGTAATATATTCGATAGATTTTGATATAATAGTATATTAGTTTAGGTAAAAGTAAGTATTCAATTAAAATAATATAAAAATTTGTTAAATATTTTTTTAAGTATGGACCGATTTAAAGAAAGATAATATTATGTTTTCAAAATTTGTGGTATAATAACAATTTAGATTATTGTAAGTTTAAATATTAAAAAAATTAAATATTTTCTTTTGATTTTTTAATTAAATACCTAATAAATCATTACATTTTTTCTTTAAAATTTAAAATTTTTGACCTCTATCAATAATTAATCATTGCTTTGTCACCATTGGACCCTCAATGATGTGTAATTTTCACATTACAATATTTCTGGTTGGTCTTAAATAAAACTAACTAATCATATGTTAATGTCAACAATGTAAAGCTAAGTATATATATATAAAGGATCTAACATATTTTACCATGATTTGAAGCTAATGTCTCTTTCAATTACATCATAATACATGTAAATATTGATTAAGACACCATAAATGTAAATAATGACCATGACATTAATTAATTAACTATTTGCGTTTATGATTTGCATACTTTATAGTTTAAAATATATAATAATATCTTAATATTATATAGGGTAAATTACAAATTTCATCACTAAACTTTATTCTTTCTCTTATTTTGCTCATTGAACTTTAAAATTTTTAAATTTTCTCATTAAACTTAATACATTGAGTTTTTTTATCACTATGTCGTTAAATAGTTAAAACGTTAAAACTTTGCCGTTTTAAAAAATCAAAAGTTTCACCAAAACGTCATTATTTTGCATCTATATAAAAGTCTATTTATAAAATCATTAATAAGAAAGCGGCTCAGTGATAAAAAAACTAATATATTAAATTTAGTGAGGACATTAAAAATATTTAAAGTATAATGAGTAACATAAGAGAGAAGTAAAGTTCAATTATTAAATTTATAATTTACCCTGTAATATATAATAAAACCGCATGTGTAATTCCATCCTACTGAAGCTATATATATATATATTTTCATAACGCAGGACCTCCTAAGGTTAAGTTAAAGAATCTGATCTTATAAGACAACCTACGGTGGGCTCAAAGAATCCACCATTTTATCTTCCCACTTTTTTTCAAGATTTCCAATTAACGATTCGAACCTAAATATGAGACCAGCTCATAATCTCGAGTCCTTGATTTGTCGCCTGCGGTGGTTACTGAAGCTATATTTAGCACTGGCTGCAAGAACAAATTGGCAAGACCAAAAGGGCCGTTGTGGTTGTAAGACAAAATGGGCATGAATCTCAGTAAATCCCAAATGGTGCATCAGAAATCCAACGGATATTTGGATCTTCTTCACTGCTGAAAAGACAACTTTTCAGTCTATTCAAAGTGTTAGGGCAATTATATAAATATTGATGTGATCTATGAATACCGAGTTGATTTATAAACAGTACAAACAATTGAAGTCATTGGCTCATTGCGTCGCAGAGCAGATTTAGAAACACTTGTTAGCCACGTGAATATGCAAAAGCCATTCATTAGTAATGAATATGCAGTAATTGTTCCATATCAGATTTTCACTTTCCTGAATCTACAAATGCCCCAATCAACTTGCCTTACTTTATTTTGACACAGTTTTTTTAATTCGTTAATTTTGTTAAAAATAAAAAATATTTACTTTATAACGAAAGTTTACAAATAAGATTGTAAATTAAATAAATAATAAAGATATTTTTTAAAGATAAAAAATTAATCATTTAAGATCATATGAAAATAAAATGGATGTCCCTTGTTCCCATATGTAATGGGGTAAGGGGGAGATAAGATAGTAGGCTGCCCCCAATACTAGGTTGAGAGCAGCTTCCGTAGGAGACCTCCAAATTATGAAATGCCCTCCATGGGACTCGAAGAAAAATATCTTAAGATCATATGAAAATAAATTTTTTTAAAAAGTTAATTAAATAAACTCGAACAAAAAATAGGAGTGATATGAAAATACTATTCATGAACATAAATCGTGTATCCAAATTTAATCTGATAGTCCAAAACAATAATACTAATATGATTATAAATAAACGTCATTTTAATCAGTCACGGTGATGTCAAATTCAATCATAAAAAAATGATAAATGAAAACAACAACCGAAAACGTGTCATAAATGTCTAATTATTAAAAATAAAAACAATAAAAAATAAATATACACTATAATAAAAAAAAAATAATAAACATCGACAATAAGTATTAGCGTCAAGAAAGATGTCGTCATCTATCATAAAAATAAAAAATAAAAGAGATTAACTATGGTTAAAAATAATATAAACGGTTCATTGTTCACTTTTGATAGGGTTTTTTTATATACGTTTGAGGAAAGTGATTAATTGAGTGGGAGTTTTCTCACATGTTTTAGAGAAAGTACACCTAGGTATGAATATAATTTGAGAAAAAGTTTTTTTTTTCACTTAAAATTTGACGTAATTCGAGTTTGGTTTATTGAATAAAATCTACACTAGATTCAATATATATAATTTTCTTTTTCATCTTATAAAATAAAGATCTAATTGAAAAATGTAAAGAAAAATATATTATTATAATTATCTATAAATATAAATATAAAAAGAAAACATTATACTATTATCTCGGATGATGTTGAGACGATAATTTTTATCATAAATCTGAAATCAACCCGAACTGATTGTTTTCTTTAAGAAATTTGATCAGAACGAATCGAATACAGATTTTTCAAAAAAAAAAAAACACACACAATCTTATATGATTAGATTGAACCAAAATTTATTAAATTCAAATCCCATACTCATCCCTAAGTATAAGACATAAAATCATCTTCTATTACTTTCTGGATTAATTAAGTTTCTTATTTGCATTATTTTTCTCGGTAGTCTCTTGATTCCTCCATGTGCTTGTGACTGGCATTTCCGATATTCAAATGAAGTTGCAGTTCTTCAGCGTATAATAATGGAAGTTGTTTGGACAAAATTCTCGAGTAGTATATTCATATGAATAATTATGTAATATTCTGCCGATTTTTCTAATTTTTAATTAATTAAAATTAAAAGAGCTACACCTACCTAAAAATGATTTTGAGAATTGTCTTTATTAATGGTAAATACGAACTTTATATATACAGATACCATGACTTGACCCGAGTGCAATGTACAACTAATAGAGAAGGAATATTAGATAAGTTTCTCTACATTTATATTATGATTTTGTATTTAATGTATGGTTGGTGAATTACATTAATATGTATTAATTATAAACATTTTTTTGTGAAATATTAAAATATAACCATTGTAAATTTTGTTTTATAATGATTATATTTTTAACCCATGATATTTTGTGATTGAGGCATAATTTGTAAGACAATAAAATAATAAAGATTTGATTTAGATGATTAAGTTATTTAACGGATTTTGATTCGACTCAAATTTTTATAATTATTTTTTAAATTTAGTTTAGTATATTTAAGTACAAATTTAAAATAAACTGAGGGACGTCAGTGAAGGTAGTGTCACTAGAGAGGGTAGAGTTGTTGAGGGTTTGAATGGAGTATGATTTGAGTTTAGGGTTTAAGATATGATTTGGAGCTTTATATTTTATTTTTTATTTAGTTATTAGATAGCATATATATATAATAAAATTATATTAAAATAATTCATGTCATTGAGGAGTGAGTAAACAAAAGTAATTTAAATGTTTAGTAATTAAATTGAATTTGTTTAAAATTGAGTAAACAAAATAGAAGTAATAAGATATTTGAGTGATGGATGTAATTTACCCTATTAAAATTTGAGATAAACTACATGTTTAATACCCCAACTATCACTATTGTTCCATTTTGGTCACCAACTATTTTTTTCAAAATCATACCTAACATTTAGTTTTTGTTTCATTTTGGTCACCCGCTGTTAAAAAGTTAACAATAACGTTGACGTGTCACCATAAAATAATGTCACGTTATCTTTTTAAAAATATCACGTTAATTGTTCTATTAAATTTTTAATTATGGATGACCAAAATGAAATATAATTAAACGTTAAGTATGATTTAAAAAATAATTTACTGACCAAAATAGAACAAAAATGATAGTTAAGACACTAAACATGAAGTTTACCCAAAAATATAAAATTGAATTCTCTCATTATTTTAGGATAAAAAAGAAATGTAATTATTTACATTATTCCTTTATATACTTCCCCCTCTTCAAACTCTTCATTTTTATAAAATACTAAGGGTGCGTTTGGCTCATGGAATGGAAGATTATTAGTGGGAATGTAAGATTAACAAGGAATAGAATCACTGGGAATGTTGTATTTTGTGTTTGGTTGGTTTAGCATGAATATAAGATTACCATGTTTTGTTAAAATAATAAAATATTATTGGAATGTATATTTGACCAAATTGTCCTTATTATATATTTTTTAACAAGTTGGAAAATATTTATATATTTTCTTTAAAAAATTTTAATTCATAAAATTTATATAATTTTTTTTACAAAATTGAAAATATAAAAAAGTTTAATGAAAGGGTAAAATTTTATTTTAACCCCTGAACTTCATATAAAATTTTAATTATAGATTTTTTTTTGTAAATCTAAAATAGTTTAAGGATAAATTTGTAATTTAACATTCGTAGAATTTTTATTATTCAATAACAGAAAAATTATATTTAAAAAAAATTTAAGGACATTTTAGTCCAAAACGTCGGGAATCCAACAATACCTAAGGAAATGGAGGTAATGACATTTCCAGTAATATACCCCAAAAATCCACTATTGGTAATTTTACATTACCGAGAATGAAATTCTCGAGCTAACCAAACGAGGAATATAAATTTCATTCTCATAATAATCACACATTCCCCCGTCCAAAACACCACCTAAACTTATCATAGCATTTTGAACTAGGATAACGTTAAGCGCGTCTTTCGAGCATCTCGTAGAATCATTTCATCTCCATCCATTTTGTTCTTCTTCCTCTTTCTTCTTCCCGTTGTTCCTCTGTATCTGGCTTTCACTTTTTTCCCGTCTTGTCGAAAAAGTATACCGTTTTTCTTCACTTGTTTCAAAAGAAGGCTGAAGGGTTCTCCTTTAAAGACCTCGGTTTTGTTAAATCATTTTGCTTTTCCTTTTTTCATCCAAGTCCTCATCATTGTCATTATTTTCATAGATCTTTATTGCCTACCCCATTTTTCCTTTTCCTCATTCCTTTGTTTACTTATTAGTTACTGCCTGTTAAAGTTGATTGAAGAAACTCTCTTTGAGATCACATATGCAGATGGAAGCAGTGATGCCATCGGCTGTAACACCATCAAAGAGTAAAAGGGCTCGAACTTTATCGAAAGTCCTTCACCGGCACTCGAAGGCGGCTGGGGTTGTCCCCGACGATAGGGTTCACAAGGTTAAGCCGCCCAAGGAAACTGAAGAATGGAAATTATCCCAGAAATTTGACAGATTACACGATGAAGAGCTTGAAAGAAAGCTGGCCTTGGAAGCACTTGTTGCGAAAATCTTTGCGTCTGTTTCAGCTATTAAAGCAGGATATGCTCAGTTGCAGTATGCTCAATCTCCTTACGACGCTGAAGGGATCCAAGGAGCCGATCAATTGATTGTTTCCGTCTTGAAAAAACTGTCCGAATTGAAGCAGTGTTCCCTGAAGAAACAGTATGATTTTTCCCCAGAACAAGCAATGGCTTTAGCCGAAATCCAGGAACTGAAGAGTCTTTCAACGACGTTTAAAATCATGGGAAAGAAACTGGAATCTCAGATGAGACTCAAAGATTCCGAGATCATTTTTCTCCGAGAAAAGTTGGATGAATCCGATAAGCAAAACAGGTTGCTGGAGAAGAGATCAAACCAAAACGGTCAGTTAGTTGTGCTCGACAATATAAACCTGTCCGGCTTAAATCCGATACATTTCATCACTGTTCTTCGACAAACTGTGAAGTCGATTCGAAGATTCGTCAGGCTGATGATCGACGAATTGAAGTTGGCTGATTGGGATATCAATGCGGCAGCAAGTTCCATCGAAAGAGGTGTGGTGTATTGGAAAGAAGATTACAAATGTTTTGCATTCGAGTCCTTCATTTGCAGGGAAATGTTCAAGTCCTTCCACCTACCATATTTCTCTCTTTTTGGTAGCTCAGTGCCAGAAGAAAAGAAGCATCCCCAACTCTTTTTCGATCGGTTTACGGAATTGAAATCCATGAAAGCTGGAGAATATTTAGCTTTGAAACCGAAATCAACATTTGCCAAATTTTGCAGGAACAAGTACTTGGAAGTTGTTCATCCTAAGATGGAATCATCATTTTTTGGCAATTTGAACAATAGAGAAATGGTGGGTTCATATCAGTTCCCAGACACACCACTTTTCACCATGTTTGCCGAAATGGCAAAAAGGGTTTGGCTTCTGCATTGCTTAGCATTCTCCTTCGAGCCCGCAGCATCAATCTTTCAAATAAGCAAAGGGTGTAGGTTTTCAGAAGTGTACATGGAAAGTGTAGCCGAGGAAGCCTTCCTTTCACCAGAACCGGAACCCCGAGTTGCGTTCACCGTCGTCCCGGGATTCAGGGTCGGAAAGACAGTAATACAATGCCAGGTATATCTCTCACAATTCAAAACAAGGTAGCCCTTCGTTCTTGTAAGTTCAGAGGAAATGGATTCAGGGCTGTTGTTGTGGTTAGCCGGGGAATTTGTCCCATAGTTTGTAAGATACATTCCCTCAGTTTTGTTAATTCTCAGTGGCCAATGATGTTCTAGCTGTTTGACATTATTGCTTTTTTATGTGTACATAATTATATAGGTTTGGGAAACTTTTTTATATTCATCTGTTTGTAAAGCTTTTTGTATTGACAGAAGGGTTTTGTCTCTATATTTGTCGCCATTAAAATCTCTGTTTTTTTGTTCCAAGTTTTGGGTTCGAATCTTCCATTTCTTAGTGTGTGTATATGTACATATAAAATCTCTGTACATTGCTTATACACCTCGTATTTATTGAAAGAACGTCTTAAGAAGATGATTATGTTAATTTACAAATAGTCATAATGATTATACGTGTTATATCAATTCTAAAATTCAATATAAACTTTCTCGATCAAGATCGAATATTGTTTAAATAAAATCACTTCATCTTCACTGGTTCTTTTTTACAAATAGATTATTTTTAACACCAGATTAATAGTTAATCTACCACTAATTACAACACTTTATCTGGAATAGAAAGATTGAAACGTTTATAATCATTATAATCCATTTATTGTAGGGTAAACTATGCATTTAGTACTTAAACTATTAATTTTGATATGTTTTAGTATTTAAACTTTCAATTGTTTTAAAATCATACATAAACTTTAATTTTTGTTTCATTTTAATATCTAGTTGTTAAGTTTTTTTTAAAAAAATGAAAGTCTGTATCAAAATACATTTAGTACCTAAATCATACTTAAATTTAAAAAAAATTAAAAATTTAAGCACTGAAACGGATAAAAAATGATAATTTAGATACTAAACATATTAAATTTTTAACGACGAGACATTAAAATGAAAAAAAATAAATAAACTTAAAGTATATTTTGAAAAAAAATTAAAAATTAAAGTAGTAAAACTGATTCAAAACTGATAATTTAGATAGTAAATATTTAATAAACCCTTATTATAATCAACATAACTCCCTACTGACTTTTAGCCTAGACTTGAAGCTTTTTAACACCCCCACCAAAAAAAAAAAATCTGTTCAGCCTGTAGAAGTTTTGAAGAAATGTAAAAACCTTTAGGTATCATCAAAAGCGTGTATTGGACTCGGAATCAAAGAAAAAGAAAGAAATATGCATTGTAATTAGTGTTCTGGGCAGCAATAAGATATTTTAAAATTCAATGTGGTCGGTCATGGAATGGAATGAGGAAATTAAAAATGAATTCGTGTCCTTAAAATGAAATTAACAGAGGTTTTGGTCTGATATCTCAGAATCAGACAATTAGTCTCACTGTCAGAGAAAGGGGCCATGGAAGAAGCTGGTAGAAGATTTGTTGCATGATTCTTGCTTCTTGTCATAATTAGGGTTTCAACTGCTACGAAATTGAAAGAATGAAAGAGAAATTGAGTATGAGTTATCAAACACGTTTCTAGTATTTTCATATGGTCCTATTTTTTGAAAAACAAGGAACATGAACCACAGCTTAATTTGAATTACTTTTATTATTCTGACGCTCCCGATGTCACATCGAATTTCGAAATTTAAATTTAAATTTCCGACGCAATTACTCATCGCTTATTTGCCGGCCGACTGTCTTGACTTGATTGCCAAATGGATTCAGGAGCCCATCAGGACTTGGACCATTAAGAGTAAAATTGGATGAGTTTTTGGCATTCGAATAAGTTTTTTTTTTAAAGTTTTATATTGATAACACGAATTAGTTGTTTTTTTACCGATAATGTTGGTTTAAGTCGTAAATAGTTTAATATCGCTTAAGTACGTTTGGAGTTTGAGTCTTTATGTATGTAGAAAATTCTTACTGGGATACTCCCCCATCAAAGCTAGTGTGTGACCCGAATTAGTTCAAATTAATCAAGACGACTTCATAAGAACTGAAAAGCAAAAAAAATAGTTGTAGAAAAATTTATCGGAGCGTATAAATTTCACTTGACTTTATACTAATATAATCCCAATAATATTTGTATATAAGTAGGACAATTTTGTAACTTTTAATAGTCGGAGATTCAACAAAATAATACCCTATAATCAAAGGACCATTTTATAACTTTTAATAGTCGAGAGATCATTTATTTATTTACTCTAAATAGTAGTTAGTCATCAATAAGTGATGAGTGCACAGATAAGTTACTTTACATTACCTTTACATTACTCTTAGGGTGCGTTTGGTTCACGGAATATAAGATTACCAATGAGAATAAAAGATTACATGGGAATAGGATTACTGGGAATGTTACATTACTGTGTTTGGTTAGTTTGAGAGGAATGTAAGATTACAGTGTTTGGTTGAAGGAATAAAAGATTACTGGAATGTATATTTTACCAAATTGTCTTTGGACTATATTTTTTAACAAGTGAAATTCTAAAATATTAAATAAAAATTATTTATATAAAAATGCTATATGTTGATAATATATTACTTGAGTATTTAAATATATCATTTATTATTTTTATTTTAATTAATATTAAATTTTATATAATTTATGTAAAAATATATTAAAATTTTACTTCAACATTTTAACTAAATGTTTACATTGTGGAAACTAGCTTCGGTTTATACGTGACTCATTTATTGGGAGGTTTCTTGTATTTTTCAATCGACAAGGTTTACATTCTTCCATATACAATAATTTATCATAGATATTCATAATAATAAAAAGATGTAAATTATTTTTGTTATTTAAGATATAATATTTATTATATCTTCTATATACAATAATTTATTTATTTATCTTTTATATTTATACTTAATTATGTATAATTTATCATTATTATTTATCTCATGAATTTATATTACAAAAACATAATTCAAATAAATAAAAAAATATAACACTAAAAGTCATATTGTAACTTTATCTTCTTTTCTTGTTTGTTCATTACCATGTCATGGTTACAATATGATTATTCTTTCGAGTGAATCCAAGACTTACCAGCATCAAAAGGTGATCTAAATATCAATTTTTGATTGTGGGTGTATTTTAAGATGTGAAGTTTTTTGATACGATGATGAAAATATAATTTATCTTCCTTCCCTCTTTTGAAGGAATCGTCATGTTGCTCAAAGAAGCAACATCAATTAACTGCTAATGGTAATGGCACTGCTGGAGGTTTTTTTCATTTCAAGGTTGAAAAGGTGATGGTGGTTCATATATTAAAAGAGTTCACAGCTGCAGGATGTGAACATTAGTGAGAAAAATAAATTTCTGAAATATATAGCTTTGGCAAGATGCCCATCACTTTCATACTGATTCCTTTGCAGGTGTGCTATGTGTCGTGATGGCCAGCCTGCTTCTCATTCACCTGATTTGCGATGTTCATCAAGGAGTTTCTCGAAACGTTCAAAACATTGAGAAGGTGTTCGGCCAACAATTGGGGCAATCGTCCTCCATTGCGTTGGCATGAGCTTAGCAAAATGAAGCAGCTTCTCATCCTCTTCTCTAGTCCATTCGGTCTACATATATCACAAAAACACAAATGATCACTTGAAACTTGATAATAATTACTAGTTTTCTTCATCAAAATGAATCAAGTAGAAACAATTCAATTAAACTTAGTAATTCAACAGAAAAACAATAATATATTCTCAGCAAGAAAGCTACTTGCAGAGTTGCCATTTGAGTAACAAAAGGCTGCAATTCCCTACAACTAGACCACCCTCAATTCTTACTTTCACCAACTCATTTTACGCTCTCAAAAGTAAAAAGCTTATTTGACACAAGCAAATGAACAATAAGAATTGAAATTTGTGAATTTATTTTTATATGATACAATTATAAACCAATGCACATTACTCCACGTTTGTAGTATTTTGTACTTTTAGTAAAACAAATATTTGTTTATTTACCATTAGCTTCTGTTTGCATAGCAGACATTCGAGCAAGCACAAAGCAAGAAATAAGGAGCAACAAGAACATTTCTTTCAACTAAGCTTAGCTACTCTGACCAAAGGCATCAAATCAAAGAGCAATCTAAACTAAACTTAACTTTTCTAACCGAAGAAAAACCTAATAATAATAGTGTCTATAGAAAATTTCAACTCATAAATCGAAACACTGAAAAGCTTAAATACCCAAAATTGATTCGATCTTTAAGTGTAAAGCTCCAGTTCGAAACAAATCCAGGTGAACAAACATTAAAATTTTCCTTACAAGGAAAAGAAAAGATAAATTTACCTTTTTAATGGAGGGATCGAGCCACTTATACCAGCGAGCTTTACATTGCTTAGCAGATTTATGAACAAGCAAAGAAGAAATTCGAGCCCATTGGTTCTTCCCATATTTCATAACCGCCGTCTTCAATATCTCATCCTCCGTGTTCTTCCATACGCCTCCTTTTATCATAATCCTCATTTTGGCTCACGATTCTTTGTTACCTTAAAATTAAGGAAAGGTAATACTTACAAAACAAGCTTCTGAAATGAACAAACTAATGCAGATTGTAAACCACTTTAAATAGAAACTTAATAAGTTTTGAATTCATTCAAATCCCAAGCACAAATTATGACTAACAATTAAAAAGAAAATTAACAAAAACCCAAACATCCAACAAATTCAGATAAGAGATGTCAAAAGTAAAAGCCAGAAAAACAATATATAAACAATTTACTTTGTGATGTACCTTGTGACCTGATTTAATCATTGTACCAAGTGAAAATGGTGCAAAACTGATATGTTATCAAAGATCTTGATACTTTCCAATGCTAGTATTGGATGAAAATATAAACAAGTACGTGCCAGTGGCATTTGATATTTTGTTTGAAAGGCCTATATAATGTTCAAGCAGATATACAAGTGATTACAAATTCCACTATATGTATAGATAGTAGGTTTTGGGGTTTACTGATATCTAGAAAGTTTTGACTTCTTTTTTAATTGAAACTCAATATCAGGAGATGCCTTTTTGTTCACATTACATCATGACATTAAACTTCTCTTTAATGGAAGTATGAAATGATATCAGTCTAGCTGGTAAACCTAATGTAGGGTAGTTACTTAATTGGTAGGTCAAAAGGAAAATGTAGAAATTTAAACTTACTTGAGAGTTCATGAATTCAACAAAAAGGAAAATTTCCAAAAGGTCAAACCTGGATACCAAGAATCTCAGCATCCTCAGCTAGAAACAAAGCCATATGACTAGTGAGATTAAACGGCGCCGTAAGCCACTTCCCAGGCGGCACATTGAGCTGCCCACTACCTCTCTACCCAAGCTTCGAGATCACCGACACGGCAGTTTCGAACGCCGCTGTATTCACCGTCACCCCATCACCTACACCGCCGAAATCGGTCAAATTAAACGCGAATGCCTGCATCTTCGGCAGGGGCCGACCGGACCACGGTTTCCCCCACAAGAAAAACCCCAGGTTGACATCAATATTCCGTTGCCACCAAAAAACCGAACAGAAAGTCACGATCCAAAGGACAGTAAAGAGATTCCGGTGTGAAGAGAAGAACGCCACGCCCCATCTCTTAAGCTCCTCTCTTTTTCTCTGCAACTGAAACCTCCCGACTGGCAAAAATGGCTCCACCATTTTCATGAAACAAGATGGGTCTGGTTTTACGACATGGACAAAGAAGGATTTTCCTCTGTTACAAGCAAAAGGGTGTCTGTTTTTTTAGAGATATGGAGGAAAACGCAAAGGATCAATGATCATCACAAAGGGATTTTTTTCACCTTTGCCACTATCATTCGTTTTGCTTAAACTAGAAAACTACGAATTTTTCGCGCTTATGGGGAGAAGAAGATATCGCAGAGGTAAGTACGGGAAAATAAGGGTATTTTAACACTTAAGCACGGGAATAAAAAAATACCTAACATACATATGGAAATAACATTTCCAGGAATGAACACAAAAAAAATTACTGTTGGTAATGAGATATTAACCTCACTTGAGAATCTTACCTATCTAAATATGGGTATCTTAATCAGAAAAAATATATTCCTGCTGGGAATGTTTAAATCCTTGATCCAAACGGATCCTTATAGGGCGTTTGGATGGGGGAATGTGGGATTCCCATGAGAATGTAATCCATATTTCCCCGTTTGGTTAGTCCGGGAATCTCATTCCCGGTAATGTAATAGTAGATTTTTTTGGGTATATTACCGGGAATGTCATTACCTCTCTTTCCTTAGGTATTGTTGGATTACTGGCGTTTTGGACTAAAATGCCCTTAAATTTTTATTTTTTTTCAAAAATATCCTTCTTCTGTCATTGAATAATAAAAATTCTACGAAGATTAAATTATAAATTTATCCTTAAATTATTTTAGATTTACAAAAAAAATCTATAATTAAAATTTTATATGAAGTTAAGAGGTTAAAATAAAATTTTACCCTTTTATTAAACATTTTTTATATTTTTAATTTTGTAAAAAATTATATAAATACTATGAATATAATTTTTTTAAAGAAAATATATAAATATTTTCCAACTTGTAATATTATACAAATATATAATAAAGACAATTTGGTCAAATACACATTCCAATAATCTTTTATTCATTTAACCAAACACGGTAATCTTACATTCCTGCTAAGCCAACCAAACACAAAATACAACATTCCCAGTAATCCTATTCCCTGATAATCTTACATTCCCACTGGTAATCTTACATTCCGTGTCACGCACCCTTAATTTTAAGAACTAGGAATGAAGTCAGAATCAAACATTGAAGGAGGACAAATTAATATAATTATTTATAGAACTTAAATTACTATTAAAAAAAATCAGGGACACCTTCTCTCACCCATCCTTCAATTCTTCACTGTTAAGGTGAGAATTTAGGTTTGATTTAACTTTGAAAATGACATTATTAGGAGTGAAAATTAGAAACTTCAACTATGAACCTCAAAATAAAAAAATAGGCAAAATGTTAGTTATTAAACTTTGATAATATCATATACTAGATGAACCTCAATATGAAATGTGCAATTTGAATTGCTTACAAACATATTAGAAGAAAGTCCAAATGCTATGTTTTACACTTTCTGATGAAGAATAATATGAGGTAATCCCCTCAAGGAATCAAATCAAACAACATAAACCAAATCATATGATCTCTAATTTATTATATATTTGTCGTAAATTGTTCGTAGTTAGGTCGGGATAGAACTTTGAGTTTTACTTCAAAATTAAATGCTAATGAAAAATATTTTGTATCTTCTTCAACCTCCCTCTCAAACTCAAGTGGCTTGTCTCTTGGGCCACTCTTCTCAGAAGTGCCAGTAAATACCTTGTCAGGTTTAAATCTCTCGGTTTTCATTAATTTCTCAAACTGCTTCACATGTGTGATGTTTTAAGATCTGGTATTACTTGAACCGAAAAACCTGCTTCACTTTCCCCAACCGGCTTCTCTTATTGAATGATCTGATCACTGAAGGTTCCTTTCTCTCTCTTATTCTTACAAAATTTCCAGATCTATTGATTTACTTTCTACTTTGTTTCCGCATTTGTTTTTCGTTGAATATATTATTCTTTATTGTAGCGCTTCGATTTAGGTTTTTGGGTTCGTGTTATTGATTTATGATTGAATCCTTCGCAGTAATAACTTATAAGCTGCGAATTTATTTGTGATTTTTGGATTTTTGGGTTCAGCTGCTGTAGTACCCTTATCCGTTTGTTTCTCTTTCTTCACAGTTCTCCTCATTATTTCATATAGCTACAAAGTATCCAGTTCGAGTTGTGTATAGATTTCGGTTTATCTAGGTTTTCGAATCTGGTTTCTAGGAGAGTAGGATTACTTTTTCTTCTCTGGTTCTTTTTTTTTGACTGTTCTGTTGCAGAGTTGCTCTGTTACTGAGCAGAAAGCAAAGGAAAAGAGATAGCTCAAATTCATTGAAAAACATTAACTTTTGTGTGCGTTACGATTCTTTTGAAAAAAGAGGGCCTTTTTTCACTTTTTTTCATTCTGTTTTGTGTAAAGTTTGATCCTTTAACTTAAAGATTCTCTTTTTTCAATTCAAGAAGGATCGGTAAACTTGACACAATCACTTAATATTTCTTAATCTTGTTGTTGTTGGATCTGCTTTCTTTGACTTAGCTTCTTGCTGTTTTTTCTCTTGTTTTTATACTGATCTTTTTTTACCAGCTTTGGGTTTGATGTTTTTCAATTAGTTGAGTAGGATTTCATTACTCTTATATCTCGTGTTACAATTTTAATCATTTTTTGCTTAGCTCGGATATTTATTAAACATTTTAAATTATAGTTTCTAGATATTGGCCTATAGTTAAATAAGATAGTATTATTTTTTCTTAAAATCCTATTAAGTAACCAACTAGGATTTTTAGTACTCCTCAATTCTCTAGCGTTTTATTAGTGCATCTTTTGTCTTATTTGGATTCTTTTTTCATAGTTCCTCATAGCTTCGGTTACAGATGATTACTTGAGGTCATGTCATTCTTTTAGATCCCATGGGGCGTATAGGGGGAGGGCTCGACAGAGTGGTGACAAGGAGACTAGATTAAGAGTTTGCTCGCTGAATGTAGGCACATTAAATGCTAGGCTGCTGGAGCTGACCGGCGTACTTAATAATAGAAAATAGATTTTGCATGTATTCAGGAGACTAGGTGGAAAGGGTCTCGCGCAAGAGAGTGTAATGGGTACAAGTTGTGGTATTCAGGCGTAGATAACGCTAGAAATGGGTGGGTATCTTGGCATCCTCTAGGCACAAGGAAAATGTAGTTGAAGTTTGCAGATACCGGGATAGGATCATGATGATTAAGGTTATTATAGAAGAGGAAGTAGTGAATGTCCTTTCAGTGTACGCCCCACACGTTGGCCTAGGGGGGGGGAAAAACGTTGCTTCTGGGATCAGTTAGATGATATACTTAGGAGCATTCCGGAGGACCAAAGAGTTTTCATAGGGGGAGACTTCAATGGCCATATAGGAAGTGCAACCGACGGGTATGACGGTGTTCATGGGGGTTTCGGTTATGGTAGCAGGAACGATGGGGGGCGTACGTTGCTTGATTTTGCTACTGCTCACGATTTGGTGATCACTAACTCCTTCTTTAATAAGAGAGATGCGAACTTGATTACGTTTCATAGCGGGGGACATTGTACCCAAATCGACTACATCTTGATTAGAAATCAGGAACGATGGGCTTGCATTGACTGTAAGGTGTTCCCTGAAGAGGCATGTGCATCACAACACAAATTGTTGGTTTTGGTGTATCGCGTACCCCACGGGCGGAGCACTCATAGGAGGGCTAAACTTGGTAAACCTAGGATCCTCTGGAAGAACTTACATGGAGTGACAACTGATGACTTTAGGAGTAAGGTTTTGTCTAATACAAGTTTTGAAACTACAAACTCAAAAAATGCAGATATGTTATGGAAAATATGGCAAATTCCATCAGAGATGTTGGCAAAAATACCCTTGGGTTGTCGACGGGGAAGGCCAAGGAACATAAAGAATCGTGGTGGTGGAACGACGAAGTCCAAACTAAGGTGAAGACAAAACAAAATTGCTTCAAGGAGTTTCTACAATGCAATGACGACGAAGAAAGGTCGAGAGCTAAACAAAGATACCAGGAGGCAAAGCGGGAAGCCAAGAAAACGGTAGCTAAAGCAAAGGATAA